GGAATCATTTAAAACCACATTTACATTTAGATTCTTGGTACTTGCTTTTGCAAATGCACACACACTGATGTCATGCATATATTTTATTTTGTGTTAGCAGGTAGGGAAAAGCATGTGAAATGCAATCCGTTATGAACTGATACAATGGGATGTGAAATTACATAAGGAATTTTCATATTATAGCAGGTTATAAATATTTTTCTGCTATCTGTGACTCATGAACCATTTTGCTAAACAGAGAAGATCAGTTCTCCTTTAGAATAAACACCAGAGGAGACTCTCTCCAGCTATATTTTATTATCTAGGAATTTATTTTATGATCCATGAGAAGATGCTATCTGACAGCCATGTAGCACATGTTTCCTTCATCTATTGTTTGCCTTTAGGTTCATTCCTAGCACATAGGTGACCTGCATATCCTACCTGCTTTTTCTGAAATGGAGGCAAAACAGCATGGGAAATGTCAATATAACATGCTATTAACAGGCAGAGATGTGTGGACTGTACTTAGATATTGCTTATATCCTGATAAGGTTGACCCTTCGGAGCTTGCACTGTTAGAGATACCTCCACCCAGAGCAGAGAAGCAGTTGCCAAAATTGAGGAAATTTCAATTTTAAATTATCAAGTTAATTATCCTGATGATGTAAAGGAATAGAGTTGTCATGAAAGATCAGATGAAAGTTTAAACCTGTAAGAGACATTTATTAAACTTTGAAGAATAAAGTCAAAGATCTATTCCACTAAGTTTAGGGGTGTTCATCCATTTGTCCTTATATATCCAACACATATGACATCTATCCAAGGCCCATAGTATATCTAAACTGCAAAATTCCAGTACAGATCAATAAGGGTGATGCTAGAATACAAAATATTCCACTGCATGTCAGTGAAAAATCTCTGTAATTTAGAGATTACTTGATCTGCCATGGCTGGCCTGTTCAAAACACCTGGCAAAACAAGTTTTAATTCAATGTCATTTCTGTTCTTGTAAACTACTAATGAAAGTTAATCAAAGTGTAATAAACATGAACAAAAAGTTACAACTATTGTTCTTCCATAATGAAGTTATATTTATATACAAATTTGAGCAGGATATTGGACTAGATGAGCTCAGGAGATTCCTCCCAGTCTAAATTATCTTGTGATTCAAAGATTTAAATGTAAATATTTTGTAGAGAAGTGCTGATTATATAGCATTGAACCTTCCTTACATAAAATGGAAGTGAATATGGACTGAAAGTTTTCTAGTGTCCAGTACAAATTCCATACCACATGAGAGAGAATCTGAAACAGTAACAAGATAATTATGACAAAGCTCATCTGTAAAAGATTCAATGTGCATGTTTAAATGAGTTGCACAATGGAATGCTGTAGCATAATGACATTTGAAATACTGGAACTAATTTCTATGAAACACTAAGCATCCCTCCTCATGAGGATGAGAAGAGGCAGGCAGCTGCAGATTTGGTTTCAGAGTATCAGCTCTACAAATTTTGATGCTTTCTTGGACAGACTGTGAGAGAAAATAAAAGACAGTGAGAAATACTGGACTTGCTCCCACTTCCCACTTGAGCAGATTCTCATGATTACAGCAGTAATGTAGCTTGTTTAGAAACTGAAGGTCCAGCATTATCAATTTAGGTACTTCCTGGCTTTCTTAACAAAAGAAAACCAAAGCAAACAACAAACAAATCCCCCAAACCAAAAAGTATGTTTCTCTATCAAACTCTGAAAAGAGCTGTATCACTAGTCTCTGAGGTACAATGCCATTGAAAGAAGTAAAGCAGAAATCTGTCTTAACTACTCTGCTCAAGATAATACAACATTACAGCAGGAACATTTTAACAGGTTACATATTCCTGTGGTGAAGCATTTTCTCAGTTAGAGTTTTACTTGGTATAAAATAATGAAGTGCTGCATGCTGATTAGGCCTGATTTACAGTTGGGTTTGATGATCTTAAGGGTCTTTTCCAATCTAAGTGATTCTCTGATCTGTACCTATGTTTGCAGGATAGGAGAATACAGCTCTCATAAACATTGCATGGTGAAAGCAGCATTAGGCAGTTATTTTGAGAGGTGCATTTTATTGTGAGATTGTAATCTCACCATTTTAGTTTATTTACATGTTCTTCCTTGCCCAGTTCCACATAGGAACTTCCCTGTCACAGAATGAATAGCTTCTGAAAATTCTGTGTCCTATGTAATATAAAATAAATGAAAATTACTAATGCTAACCTAAAATTCAGCTAAAAATTATTTGAATGCCTCTATATTTAAAACAACTAACAATGTCAACATATGGGAAAATAATTTTCTTTTCAATCCCAGGTGAGATTCTAAAGCATTTCTGCAGGCTGTCCTGCCTTCTAGTTACAATGTTCTATTACACTGTTCTAGTTACAATGTTCTTTCTTTTCAAGAACATTGTAACTAGATGATGACTTTTTTTGGTCATTTAATGTCTTAAATGCTGTTCAAATTTACTTCAAAAGGTTTTAGAGCTGATATATCTTCCAAGCAACCCCTAGTCCTTCAGCACTCGGGAACTTCAGAATTAAATATCTGTGCTCCAAACCACCCTATCTTTAAATCTATGTTTTGCAAACTGGCTACACGTGGAGGAAAAGGGAAAAAGGAAAACTTCAAAACTCTATCTCCCATGTCACATATTCCTAGTTTAGCCTACTGGGTGTAACAGCTACCACAGAGGTTAGATAAAAAAAATTAATTGCACTGAAATTTTCTAAATATTGTTTAGTGAGGTATCCAGATAACACCTACATTGTTATTCATAAACAAACCACCAACAATGAAAATTCTAACTGATCTTTGCATTGTAAAGTATTCTTCAACATTTGCAGACTTGGTTCAGCCAAAATGGCCAAAGAATAAAAACTGGTTTGCTTCAACCAGGAAAAAATGAGCAAAGATGAGGAGAAAAGGTTTTGTCTTCATTGCTGCCTTTCCTTTGTAATGTCATGGGGGAGGGTGGGCTGGAGCTGGAGGATTGGAGGAGAACAATTAATGGGAGCTGATGGAGGGGTATTAAAGCTCTTTCTCCATGTAACACAAAATGCATCATTTCAAATGAATATTGCAAATCCAATATTTTTTTTTTTTTGCTTCAATCACATTAGCAAATTCAATTAGGTGATTCCAATAAATGCCTTTAATGCTGCCTATGGAAAACAGTTATTAACTCCTTGAGATTTCTTCCCTTTCTTTAACAAAGTGGCTGCTTTTCTGTAGTGCAGACACTATGAAATAACAGATGGCCAAGAATGACAAAGTTAAAATCTTGGCTCAGTGATAATTATTGTTAAATAAGTAATTTCCTTATGCATCAATTCCATGGCTGAAGGTAATATTTCACTCTTTTATTGGGTTGGTTTCAGGATAGAAGTATTGGGAAGTGCTCAACTGCTACAGTGCTTAGGGCTACTTAGTATCCTGGCAAACATGAAGGAAAACAACTACCCAGAAAATGTCAGGATTGCCTGCATTCATTTCAAGATCTCCATGGTTAAGCAAACAGACAGAAAGATAAGGAAAGCTTTCCTCAACAAATTACTTCTGTGCACAGAATTACAAGCCTACTTTGGTTCTAAGTAAAAAGAATAATCTCCTACTTTAAATAAGAGAGGAAAATAGATTGGACTGATTTATTTCAGACAAGAGAGGAGCTGACTCTCCCTATAAACCTGACGGAAGGATTCCAAATACACAATATTAGGAAAAAGTAGTTAAAGCTAAAGGGATTTCCATTCTGTGAAGTGTCTATAGACCATGACACTGTATAAAAGCACTAGATCAGCATGGTCTTCTTTGGTTTTCACAGAGAATACAGTATAGACTAAGACTCTTTCTCAAACATAAAAGATACCTAACATATCAAGGACATTTTGGTCTCCAACTTGAGGTTTCAGTTGGCTTCAAAATAAGAAATCTTGAACACAGCCTTGTGACAGGATTATTTTTCAATCTGTGTTGCCTTTATATATTAAGCTTACAGTCCTCAAGATGCTCTTCTTTTGGCCTACTAATAT